CGTGAGGTGGGTCGGGGGGGGAAGGGGTCTGTGCTGGAAGATTACTGGGTGGAAGAAAAGTGTCTTTCACCTTGTATACTATACTACTATTTTCTAATTGTATCTCAGAGTTAACTCACTGCTAGTAAGCTGTTTAATTTCTCTGTTCCATAAAAGAAGTTCACGGTTCCTTTCATCCATTTCCCCACTTTCTGCTATTCTGAATTACAAGTCATGTCAGGAACTCCCAAATCAGAGAGCTAATTGAAAAAAAAAAAAAAAATGCATTTAAGAGATTGACAGAGGAAGTTCAGCAGAAGTGGATCACTGCACACCAAGCAGTTAGGTTTTGATTTTGAAATACATAACAAAAGCTAGGAGGGAGAGACACCCTCTCTAAATCTAAGTTGATGAAGTACAAAGAATCGGCAACCCCTGCCAGTCCACATTTACAGGTTTGGTTTGAGGAAGTTCGGAACAAAGACCACAACATGAAAACATTCCAAGTAAGCGAACCCATCATCAATTCATGACAACCCGGGATTCTTTATATCCAAGGAATGCTTGAGGTATAAGGGGAGACTAGTTTTTCCCCAGAACCAAAGTATGCTGAATTTTCTCTTCTATTGGCTGACTTCCACCCCTCTCAATGTGGTGGACATTCATTTTTCTTTGGCAGCAAAATGTAACATGCCAACAAAACACATCAACCATTGCAGCCAGCAAGGCTACTGCAGCCTACCCCTTTGCCAAACCACATTCGGGAAGAGATCCCAATTAATTTTATTAGGAGGGTACCAGGAGGGTACAACAATCTAAAGGGCAGGATTCCTTGATCGTGGTTGTGGACAGTTGTTGAAATATGCTCTAAATGATAAGACTGCATGGATTTCCTATATGTGCAAATTCTGGTCGTGAAAGAATTTGAGTAAACTTCAGAAAGAATTTGTTATTAACCTTTGTGTAGGACTAAGTCATAGACCTAGACACAAAAGACTCCTTGCAACCTTAGTGAAAGCGAGAAGCATCTAGTCCTTGACAGATCCCCTTCCAGACTAACAGATTTTTCTCAAATAGTTTCTTCCTTGATTTTCCAATCCAAGTGTGTAATTTTATAAGGCTACATAGTATTATAACTAACAGTTATCCTAATAAAAATGAAAACTAGAACTAAGGATTCTGTTACACGGAATCATATCTAGATAACATAATTATCCTACATGTTGGTTCAACCAAACTATTACTACATTTACCCTATTGTCCATGTTGTATCTCAACTGAAATATGATGATGTCAATCCTAATGTTATCAGAGGAGGGTGAGCTGCATGTTCAACCTGCAGTAGTTCTAGCCATAACAAAGATGTTGGATGGAACTAGAGAGGCTCTGATATGCTGTGAAAATCTCTCAGGACATGAATACTATTGGGAAGCATGTGATACCATTCACAAGAAATTTCCTGAATTTCACCTTGGACTGAGCACATGGAGTCTTTAGGCCCATGCCAGGAGAATTAAGGGTTGGTGGTTGAGCAGAAGGAACCAGATCATCTTCTGGAGTAGCATGGAGAGTTACTTGCTTACTGGGTGTCATTGGGCAGGAAATAAGAGAGGAAGAGGGTTTTTGACGGTCCTTCAGTTTTCTGGAATCAAGTGGAGTATTACTACCCTACTGGGTGTCTTGTTGCAGGACTTTAGGGTGGAAGAAAGTCTCTGACTCTGCAGAGCATCCTCCTGTTTTCTTCTTCATTTGTTTACTATCCTACAATTGTCCTACTGTTTTCAGAGTTAATTCTCTGCTGGGAAGGAGTTTAACTCCTCTGACCCAAAAATGAAGTTCAGTATTCCTTTCACTTCTAGGAAGGAGATTAACTCCCTTGACCCATAATTGCTCTTAGTTTTGGACCTTATCAGATACTAGCTCTGGTGCTATATATGAGAATCAAATGAGAGTATTATTTTGATCCTAATTATAAGAAAAACAGGTTTATTTTTAAATATATTAATTAATTAATAGATAATTTCCTTTTGTACCCTTAATTTATTAAGGGTCTATTAATGAGTCATCCACTCATTTTCCATGGAAGTGAATGTATTGGACTACTTACCCACCTTTGACCTAGGTTTTAGCTATTGATTAAGTAGCTAGAAATAACCAATCACGTTTGCATCTAAACATGCAAGACAATAATCCAATTTGAGCTTCAGATGTTAGGACATCAACTCTTTCTCTTATTTATTTTATCTCTGTATTCCATCTAACTGAAGGACTAACTCCCAAAATCAGAAACGTCAAACAGGGGAACAAATTAATATGCTCTGAGATCTAAAAGAAACTATGGTAGATAGAAAAATTATTACAGAAGTTGATAAATGAGGCTATGGTTTATTCATTAAAACCATATCTGACAATATGCATGCAGTCTAGAATGACATTCAACCAAAGATGTTTCAATATTTGTAATGCAATGCTTTATTTTTTATTTTTATAATTTACCAGTTTCCCAACCCCCGGCAAAGAGAGAGAAGAAAAAAAAACAAAAACAAAAACAAAATTTTTATCCCACTATCAACCAGGTGAGTCCAGCTACATGGATCAACTAACACCATTACGTTTGATGAAAAGCCAAAATTCTCAAGGATTCTAATTACCATAATATCCTTTTTAATAATTTCTTCTAATGTACTTCTTGGTGTCCTACCACCGTTTCACAGGGATAAAATCCATGCTATGTACCTCATCAATGCTTCTAGTGGCTTTCTTTGCATATGTCCAAAGTCCAAACCACCTTAACTGATTTTCTGTCTTTTCATATGTCGCTCTAATATTTCCTCTTATATAATCATTTCATATTGAGCAAAGAAAAAGACCAAAAAAACGAAATAACTGTTAACAATAATTATCATTCAATCAGGCCATCTCCATTCTCCAGATAGAAGTGGAATACAAAGGTGACTAAAATGGGGCATCCAAACCATTACATTTACATTTCAAATATTCAATACCCGTCATCCTATATACCAACAACTACTCCATCTGATATGAAACAATAATTAGTACAATGCCCATCATATATACCTACAAACCACGAAGGTGGATTCACTTGACTGTTGTACACCTTTAGTCTCTCTTGAACCGACCCTATCTCATATATTAAAAAAAAAAAAAAAGTTTGCAAACTTGGTTAATTGGTTTACCAGTCAGTCAAATGACGGACACTCAACAACTTTTTACCTACGGCTACTTGGCAAACTACCAAAATCAATTCCTCTCACCGTGACACACATTTTAATATAAAATCCATGACCAAAATTAATCTAAGCACCTATCCCAATTACATTATTCAACAGCTCAATATCAGTTACGTTCTACCCAAGTTCTAAACAAATATGGGCCCCCCCAAATAACCATGAAATACACTAATAAAAAGTAGAAAGCATGGCTATGTTTCAAAACCATGGATCATATATATACACACACTCACCAATTTTCAATAATAAACACCCATATCCACCATAATAAATCTACAACATACCAGTGCCAGCAGCGGTAATAGCTTGCCTATACTTCTTGTCCTGAACATCCCCAGCAGCAAACACTCCCTCAACACTGGTCTTCGTGGTCCCTGGCTTCGTGACAATGTACCCATCAGAATCCAGTTCAAGCTGACCATCCAAAAACTTGGTCGCAGGCTCGTGCCCAATTGCGAAAAACAACCCAAAAACCTTCAAATCAGAAACCTCTTGTGTCACCACATTCTTCACCTTCAGTCCCCCAAGAACCCTCTTGTTATCCCCATCACCATACGCCTCCACCACCACCGAATTCCAAATCACCTTGATCTTACTATTGCTCAAGGCCTTGCTCTGCATTATCTTCGAGGCCCTGAACGAGTCCCTCCGGTGGATTATGTAAACTTCGGAACCGTACTTGGTGAGGAACGTCGCCTCCTCCATGGCCGAGTCCCCGCCGCCGATCACCGCCAGCGGCTTGTTCCGGAAAATCGGCGCGGCACCGTCGCAGACGGCGCACGCGGAGATGCCACGGTTCCAGTAGCCGTCGGGGCCGTCGCCGGAGCCGGTGAACGGCAATCGCTTGGCGACAGCGCCGGTGGCGACGATGACGGCGTCGGCCTCGACGGTGCGGGAATCGGTGAAAACCCTAAAGGGACGGGCGGAGAAATCGACCTTGGAGACGGTCTCGGTGTGGATCTCGGTGCCGAAGCGCTGCGACTGCTTGCGGCAGCGGTCCATGAGCTCGCCGCCGAGGATGCCGTCGGGGAAGCCGGGAAAGTTCTCGACGTCGGTGGTGGTGGTGAGCTGGCCGCCGGGGGCGATGTCGTTGGCCATCCAGCCCTCGAAGAGGAGCGGCTTGAGCTCGGCGCGGGCGGCGTAGACGGCGGCGGTGTGGGCGGCGGGGCCGCTTCCGATGATGCAGAGTTTGGTCTTGTGGATCTGAAGGTCAGGCATGGCGGCGGCGGAGGAAGCGTAAGCGCGTCCAACAGTGAGCAAGTTTCGCGCCTTCGTAAAGAGGTTCTTCCAATTCTGATTAGGGCAAACTATTCTAAATTTCATTTCCCTCCTTCCTTTCTCTCTCTCCTTTTAATATTTTCTTTTTCAAATTATTCTGCTCATTGCAACTAACTTCTTTTTTTCCTACTTCACATTCACCAAGGGTGCTTCCATCCAACTTTATTAAAATTTGTAACATCTTATGATGTTTTTTTTTACACCAACAAAGTGACTGTGAGCATACAATTTAATTAAGATGTTATTAAATAAGTATTTTATTTTTATGCATAAATTATATGTACAAGTAAAGAAGAAATAGTAACTTTTTCAATTTTTACTTTTTGGTAAACCATTGCGCTAATTTATTTTTTTAATAATATCATAATATATTATATTTAATATTTTTTCATTAATTAAAATATATACCACGAGTTTTATATAACATTTCCTAAATAATACATATCAAACATCGAATATTTAACTTTTATCATATCATATTATATATTTTATGTATTCAAACTTATTGAATAAATGATACCAATGCATTGGCGGGTCCTGTAACAAGTTCTTTGTATAAAGCGGAATAGAAGAACATCTAAGGAAAGCACCTCTGCGTGTCAAATTGACGGAAGGAATAAACGTGGAAGATAATGATGTTATTTTTGTGTTTTTTGATGAGTACCAAAAGAGGTACAAACAAATACAATGTGGGTTGTTGTTGGTTTTGAAGCACGTACTTGTTTCAAAATTCAGTAATATTGACCGAACGAATTAAAACATGGAAGTAGGATGTTGTTGTTTTGTGTTTCTTGAGGAGCTACAAACAATGTGGGGATGGCTGATAGAATCTAAGCATGGCTATGTGTCGTTGGTTATTTGGATTCTCCTATTTGTTCTTTTGTTTCCTTCTTTTGTCTTTCTACTTAGCTTGTTCATTCTTGATCGTTTCATTTACAACCTGTAATTTTTCTTTAATTGTAATTTTTTTTATTCATTAAAATCAAACAAATTTATAATATTATTTCTCTTATTTTTTTCAAATCAAACAATCTTATTTTCACTTTATTTCTACTCATTCATTTCTTCTTCTTCTTCTTTTCTATTTTTCTCAATCTTATTATTATTATTATTATTATTATTATTATTATTATTATTATTATTATTATATTTCTCTCCTCACTGGTGACAATCAAACACAGTGATAATGTTTTGTTTTATTAAGTAATCAAGCATACCCTTTTTCCTTTAGTCCATGCAAAGTATTTCCTTCATACATTGGACCTGCAAAGTGACTCGCCAACACCAAGCCTAATAACTAAGGTTAAGTGGTGTGATTTTTCTGTTTTAAGTTTTAAATTTTTAAAATTACAACTAGCAATTTTTTATTTTTAGATGATTTTATGTTATATATATTTTTTAATTTTAACATCTTAATTTATATTTTAATCATATTTTTATTATTAAATAATTTAATTTTAAAAGTATTGATAGATGATTCTTTTTATGAAACTGATTTTAAATAAGTTCTGATATGATTTTTTTTAATAAGTTCTTGTGTATCAATGTATTCAAATATTTTATAATTATGAAAGCATTTATTAATGTGTATATTTAGACGTAAATAGCTTATTGAATTTTAAGTACGTGTAATATAAGCTCTTTATAATAAAAATTTAATAAGAAGTATTTTAAGTTTTTTTTATTTTAAATGAACCTTTGATGTTTCTATTTTCAAAATAAATAATTTCATCCTTTTTCTTTTACTTTAAACCATTCAACTACTAAATTCTATCAAATTATTTAGGGTATAATAACAATAAAAATGAGACTAACAAGTTATTGATTTGAATAAAATTATACTCCATTCTCTTAAGAAAAACACTGAATTTAAGTCTTACAGATGAAAATACATGGTTAAAAAAAATTCTATTAAAGATGGTCAATTTAATTTTTCATAAAATATTAATCATCAATGTAAACACCAATTTTTTTTTTTTTAAATAAAAAAACTCAGAAAATGCCAAATGTAAATATCAACTATGAAAATCTTCTATAATAGAAATAAGCAGTTTAAGTGGCTAGATTCTACTGAATCACAATGTTTGACCTATCGCAACTAGGTCAAGTATAGGAGTGGATATACAAGTTAGCTTGGCCCGCAAAGTCCACATTTTTAACAGGTCAGATAATCTTGGTTCGTGAAATAAATAGTGTTTTCATGGCCCATATTTACCCTGCAAAGCTTGCAATTAAACAGACAAGCTCGTGCGCCCAATAAAAAATTTTAAAAAATATTTTTTCCTTCCCCTTTTTTTATGCCAGGAATATATGAGGGAGAAATACATAAAAAAAAAGTTATATAAAAATATGAACATCAAAAAATCTAAAATAAAATATATAAAAATATAAAAGACTTAATGTACAAAGGTTTACACATTTAAACTAAACCAGTAAAATATTAATATTTCAAACTTGTACATTTAATCTAAAATATATTTATGCATAAAAAAATATAAAACATATTAAAGTAACAAAAGTGTAATATATTTTAAATATAAAATATACTAAATTCAATACTTATTACTTATACTTATTTATTAACAAAATACTAAAATCTCTCATAAAGTTAGGAAAAAAAATAATTCTGTTAAACAGGTCAACCCACATGGTTCACAGATTAAGTCCATGAAATCCAAAGACTTCATAAATTAGACTTAATTTCTCTTATAATTATGCAAAATTTAAAAAATAGGCCCATTGACCATGCAAGTTTCGGGCTTCACGGGCCAACCCGTTTACTTACCCCTAATCGTAATTGACATTTCATTATAGTAAGGGCTCCCAATTTTAGATAGTGATAGGAGAATAGAAGTTATACCGTATCTAAATTTTATCCTTTTATTTTAAATAGTGGATTAAAAAAATGAAAAATACAATTGTCATATTATTGGATCTGATCAGCTTCACCAACAGCATCAACATAGATGGGAGGTTTGTTTCAATACTTACATGAATCACTATCGTTCAAATAACATTACACTTATCTAGCAGTGGTTTTCCAGAAAATTTTAGCATGCTACCAAAAACCAGTGGCAAACACAAGCATATTCAATGTCATACAACTTGTAACGATGATGACATCAGAAGCAGACATTATTTTTATACACACACAAGCACAGAATAGATGCTGTTGAGGTTGCAGCTCAAATGACCATGACCTTCGTGTGAAGGCGGAAGTTTGTATATAATAGGCCAAATAAGAAGAATATTTTATTCTGGCCAAATTATATAATTTATATGTATATTATTATAATGTTGATAAATATTTTGTACTAATAACATGATTAATTAAAAAAATAGAAAATAACAATGAATATAAGATGTAAAAACAAAACAGGATATGAGTGAATTTAATATTAACTAACCTTGGTTTGTATTTATTCTAAAATCTCTCACTTTTTCTCATTTACAAGTTTGAAATTTCTTAAAAGTTGAAAAGAAATTACAATGTCTCACTTACTCAAACAATGTAAAATTTGTTAATATATTAGTGCATGTGACCTGAGTTGGCTACACATGACTTTTAATAAAAAAATTATTTCAATAACATCCCTTTTAATTGATAAGGTGAGGGACATATTTTTTTTAATTTTTTATCTTATTAAAAATTATGTTCAAATCACATTACACGAATATGTTAATAAATTGGATGTTGTTTGTTGGTTATAAAGAATAGTATAACATATTTCTTTTATTCTTAAGGAGTTTTACTAAAAGTCCAAAAAATTGAAAGAATATCAAATTTAATTTTAAAAAAATATGAGGAATGTGAGTGAAATTTACTCTAATTTAAATTGTTTAAAAATCATTTGTTATTTACAAATTAGAAGAGTTGGGGCTTGAATCCTACTAAAAGAGGTATTCATATTTAATTTTTGATTGTGTTATTTTTTAAGAAAAATATATATTTGGGAAATCAAGAAAAAGAAGAAAAAACTTGAAGAGATCTTCTAATAAAATCAAAACAATTTTTCTTAAAAGAATATCCAATTTCTTTTAACTAAAACAAAAGAGTAACGTGACTACAATCGTCTGTCGGAGTGGTCTTGCTTAATGAGAGATGTTAAAAAATTCTTTTGTGATATATAATAAAGTTTTGTTTTTATAAAGGATTATTTTCTTAGAAAGGAACTAAAGTTATCGAATAAGTGACACTTTATAGATAAAAGAGGGTGAAATATGTTTTTAGTATTTTAAGAGAAATGTTTTATGTAATATATATATATATATATATATATATATGTGTGTGTGTGTGTTTTCCTAACTAAAAAAAATTATTTATAGTCTTTTGGACCAGTTACCTCATATTAAATGTTGATGTAGTTAACGAACTCACACTCCCCAAGGAGTGTGTATGGTTTTGTTTTTCTTAAAAAAACCATTTTGAATCATACCATGCTATTTTATTAAACTGAACTGTTTTATAAATTATCTAAATCATACTAATAAGTTAGTTTAAAATCAAACTACTTTTATAAACTGTATTTAAAATCAAATAAATTTTGAACTGATTTTAAGGACTGAACTAATTTTCTTAAGAAAGAAAATAGTTTTTTCTCCAAAATTGTGAACAAAGTTATAATTAATGTACTCTTTAGAAACAAATTAAAAATATTTTACTAGTTAGATATTTAACTTAACAACTAATTAAGTAGACAAATACATCATAAAAGATAGTAAATTGTTTATTTTATTGAAAAAAAAAATACACAAACAAAATCATAGAGGTCAACTTAAAAGTATTGAAAAATTATAATTGTCGTATGAAAAAGTAACTATGAAACATGATTTAATAATTATCATTTATTTTAATAGTCTAATGACAATCAAAAGGTAAAAAAAATAAAGCAAAATAAAAAACACAATGATCGTAAGCTATATTTAAATATTTTATGCGATACTGTAAGTTATTAAATTGTGGAATATAAAAAACATAAATAAATTATTTTGATTTAATTTAATTTAATTTTTTAAAAAAATATGCACCGATGCACTAAATCTAATTATTGATGCAATTTGATTTTTAAAATTCATTTTATATGAACAATGTCGTTTGATTTTTTT